TTCAAGGAAGAAGCATCATACTGGAAAATACAGCCACATACTTCACCACAGCCATGCCTTGAACTAAACCACGAGCAATACAAAACTGGTAAATTCAGGTGATATCTCTTCCTTTAATGATCCTGCATCTCTTGATCTACCTATCGCACTTTGTAAACAACATAGTTCTTGCACTCGTTATCCTATTTCAAAGTACGTGTCTTATTATCATTTATCATCTTCCTTTCAAGCATTTACCTCCGTTTTTTCTAGTGTAGAGATTCCTAAAAATGTACAGGATTCTCTAGGAGTTCCAAAGTGGAAAGAAGCTGTTCTAGAGGAAATGACAGCTTTGGAAAAGAATGGAACCTGGCAATTGGTACATTTACCTAAAGGAAAGACTCCAGTAGGTTGTAAGTGGGTATTTACTATAAAGTTTAAAATTGATGGAACAATTGACAGGCACAAAGCAAGACTTGTGGCAAAAGGATATACAGAAACGTATGGTTTGGATTATCAAGAGACATTTGCTCCAGTGGCAAAGACGACCACTATACAAGTGTTGATTTCTCTAACCGCTAACTATGGGTGGACTCTTCATCAACTAGATATTAAAAATGCTATTTTAAACGGTGATGAAAGGATTTGTTTGGCACAATGATGCAATACCCATAGGCTGAAAGTGTTGGCCCAGCTACTAAAATCTATTATGGTTTTTACTTGGTGCAAGAAACGTGTTATGAAAATGCTAGAAACCGTGTTTTACTTACCTGATTTTGGACGCCTCAAATGTCGCCTTCAATACCGTTGGATGGTGACTATTAGGTGACCTTTTAAAAGGACTTCTAGGGTTTGAGTACTACAGTGGTGTTTTGTTTTTGGCTTCGAGACTTTTCATTCTCTCGTGTTCTCTGCGACGTTTCTAGATAGTTCTCTCCTTCTTCATTAGAAATCAAAATACTCTTTTAATTTTTGATTTTCTTCACTCATTACTGTAATCTTTTGTGATTTCATTGAGTTGAGTNNNTGTGATTTCATTGAGTTGAGTATTGGTTCTTGTGTGAACCGTGTTGTATTGTAAAAGAGAGATCTCGTTTGTGTGATATAAAGGGTTGTCCGAGTGTCATCCTTTTGTAATCTTACTTTGGGGTTTGATTGTGATTCGAACGGTGGTTTATTCTTTGAGATTGAGGCACTGAACATTTGAGATGTGGCCTGAGGGCTTTTACTGAATAAAGATACGTTTATTGCAGTTTACTTTGTGTTCTCTTCAGTTCGTTTTTGTTTCTTTTGCACTTACATATATTGTTGAATCTTGTGAGCTAATTGCGATCTCCTCCCAACAATGGTATTAGAGCGTTTAAAGAGGTTCTTGATACTGTGTATGGTTGATCTTGACAATGTGACTATTTTTTTAGCTGCACTTCGTATTTCTTGAAACCCTAATAAGGAGATCTGGTGAGATCTTTATTTTTTAACGGTTTTACCCTGTAACTTAAGTTTTAATACTCGTTTAAGATTC